TTAATATAATAATAAAATTATATTTTGATCCTTTTAAAATTTTAATTTTTAATTATAATCTTTCAATTAAAAAAACAATAATCAATGAAGAGTTATTTTCTCGACTATTTGCAGGTGTCCGATAGTACTCTCTCTCTCTGTGCGTCTATTTCTCAAACTTTTGAATTGAATCTGAGAAGAACCCGACAATAAGGCGCGGGAACTCAAAATTATTTTGCCTCCCTGGAAACACAACATACGAAATGCCCAAACTAACCTTGCCTCATCACATGAACCGCCACCACATGTAAGCGAGACACTATTGATTTTTTAAAAAATGAATTCGAATATTTTCGTATTTAATTCCAACCATTTATTATTATTTTAAATCGAAATAATTTGATTTATATAACAAACTATAAAATCGACTCCATTATTATTTAATTTAAATTTAATTCAACTCAAATTTGATTCGAATGTTCTAATTGTCACCTTTATACGTAAGATCAGTTTAAATATTTTTTTAACTGTATGTGTTAGTAATTTTTATTTAATTATAATTTAATGGCCCAATAGTTTAATACTGCAATGATATATCACGATTTTTACTAGTTTAAAACGAGACAATAATTATTTATTTTTTAGATTTAAAGACCGCATGTGATGTAAAAGAAATTAAAAAAATTTTTTTATAAAAATACAAGAACCTCATAGTCACTGGTAGGACTATAAACGAGTTGAATCGAGTTTGAGTAATGTTGTGTTCAACTTGACTCGACAATTTAGGTTTAGTTCAATTCGACTTGAAAACTCTGAAGCTTAACATTGTTAAGTTTAACTCAAACTCAAAATAAAAATTGAAGCTCGACTTGATTCGAAGGCTCGCAAGCTTAAAATTTTTAAGCTCGTTTCGGAAACAAAAATTGATGTTCGACTCAAGCTAAAAATAAACTTGAACTCGAACCATTCTTAGACTTAACTCAATCGAAGCTTAAACTCAAGTTCGAACATGAACCTTAAATACATGAAAATCTTATATTATATATTTTTTTTAAAATAACATATGAATAGTAATATTATTATAATTTTATTTGAAATAAAAATTGAATATATTATTTTTAAGTTACTCATAAACTTTCAAATCATACATAAGTAGCTCATTTAACTTACTAAAAACTCGAAAAGTTTTACTATACCTAATATTATTATTATTATAAAAAACAAATTACAATTATTAAATATATTTTTCTAACTATATTTATAATTGTACATGTAACTCCTTCCAAAATTATTTATTAAAAAAAATAAATCTAACGGAATTTATTTCAATATTTAAAATTTGAATGGAGGTTACATTTCTATAATATTCTAAAAGAATGAAGAAATTAATAAATTTGATTTTTTGTTGTTGTTCTTTTCGTTATGAGCGTTTACCTTAATTAATTTAAATCGATCCACATCATACGTATAATTTTGGTGTATAAATATTCTAACAAAAAAAATTTACATACATAAAAATTCAAACTCAAAACTTTATTAAATATCAAATTTTTTACCACGTAATTCAATTATTATTTATAATAAATTTGAATTTGATTTAAAGGAAAAAAAGACAAAGAAGAGTGGATTGTAAATTTGGACATATCTACTTGTCCGGGAGATCTTTTAAAAGAAGGGCATAACCGTCAGAACGGCTCAACTTTGCACTGTGGGACCCACACAATTAGGGACAGAGGTGGTATTTCGACAAAAGAATTTGAATTTCAACGTAAAAAGGCGAAATCCCTATATCTGTTTTCAGACAGCCCCTTAAAATACGGCGGGATCTGACCCAAATAAATTCAAAATTAAATAACAAGAATTGAAAATAAAAGAAAGAAAAATTAAATCCTTAGAATATCGAGAATTTTTACGTTACGACACTTTTAATCTATATTAAAAAAGATGTTATCAGTTTTGTTATTATTTAAATAATAAATTGATAAAAAATTATTTAAAATATTATTATTTATATTTAAAATATCAATGTTTTTTAAATTTTTGATAAAATACCCTACAATAATAAAATTAATATAAAAAATAACAAAATCAGTAGAATAATAACGTTTTTGATAATTTTTTTTATTTAAATACTAATAAAATTAGAAACATCTTTTTAACTATATATTAAGGTTGTCACGTGATATCTTATTATAATATCCACCGAAATACGTAAACCCTAAAAATACTGAAAACCCCAAAATTTAAATTTATTGGGTTCACTTTGAAACTTCTTTCGTATATGTTTCAAGATTCAACCTTTAGTTAGAAACTAGAGAGAGAAGTGCTTTGCTTGCCAAGTGAAGAAGAAGACTGAGGAGAGAGAGAAGAAACTGAAAGGTTGGTTCCTTTTCTTGTTATTTTTTTTGTCGTAATTTTAGTTCATTTTTGTAGTTATTGAGCAAAAACTGAGCTACTCTTTTCATATATTTCTTTTCCTTTTTTAATTGTTTTATCACTCCAGATCAAGAATGTTTGATTTTGTTTTCAGTTCATAGGAAAACGTAGGAAACTAGTGGAAAATCATAACTTTAAAACTTAGGTTTTTTTCTTTGTTTTTGTTCAACTAGTTAGTGGATTTTCTGAGGAACGAGTGTGATTTCTGGTTTATTGTATTTTTCTCAGGTTTTCTGGGGGTTTTCCTTCTGTTCTTTTGGACCTTTTAGTTAGATGGCTTATCTTGTTCTGTGTTTTACAGGTAAATGATGGGTAGAAATCTTAGCCCGATATTACGGAGAATTGGCAAATCTTGATAAAGATTCTGATAGTCGAAAATCGGCAATGAAGGCACTGAAATCATATGTGAGAGACTTGGATTCGAAGGAGATACCGGTCTTCCTTGCTCAAGTTTCGGAGACCAAAGAAACCGGGTTCGTGTCGGGCGAATACACTATTTCACTCTATGAAGTTCTTGCTCGTGTTCATGGTGTGAAGATTGTTCCTCAGATTGACAGTATAATGTCCACCATTATCAAGACATTAGCTTCGAGTGCAGGTTCTTTTCCTCTACAACAAGCCTGTTCGAAGGTGGTTCCTGCAATTGCAAGATATGGAATTGATCCAACCACTCCGGAGGATAAGAAGAGGCATATCATCCACTCACTTTGTAAGCCTCTTTCGGAATCTCTTTTGGCTTCCCAAGAGAGCTTGAGTTCCGGCTCTGCCCTTTGCTTGAAGGCACTCGTAGAGTCCGATAACTGGCGGTATGCTTCCGATGAGATGGTCAACAATGTCTGTCAAAATGTAGCTGGTGCTTTGGAGGATACGTCTATTCAGGCAAATGCACATATGGGGCTAGTTATGGCTTTAGCTAAGCAATGCATTGATTGTCGAAGCATATGCTAGATTGTTAATAAAATCTGGGTTGAGAATATCGAATGCTGGGCTTGCAGAAGGTAATTCTCAGAAACGGTTTTCAGCGATACAATGATAATTTCTTGATGAATGGTTGGATCCGAGGAGCATATACTCTGAGGTAGAGTTGATTATAGAAGAGATGGAGAAGTGTCAATCTGATCAGATGGCTTATGTTAAAGGGGCTGCTTATGAGGCTTCTCAAACTGCAAAGAAAATAGCACAAGAGGAAGGGTTGAAATTTGAGAACAGTTGTGGTTCAGTTACTGGATCGAATTTCGGTAGGAGGGACCACAGCCGTAGGAGGAACATAGTCGCAACTAGCGATGAATCTGCAGCAACCGCCTCACCTGAATCACAGACACTTGATTCCTTTATGGAATACGATTCTTTTCTTGAGTCGCCGATTTCAATGACTCAAATTTCTTGCAACATGGAATATGATCAAAAGAGTGTGAATCGGAAGCTTTGGAGTTATGAAAATGGAGGTGTAGATGTATCGCTTAAAGATGGTTTGTTCTCTGCGGTTGCTCAAGGAGGTTCCGTTTGTGATTCACCTTCCGACCTTCGCAGCAATCATGGTACCGAGTTCACCAAGGAATTTTCAGGATTCTTGAATATTAGTCCTAAAAGTGGGTTACCAAGAAGTGCCACTCCCAGCCCTCAGGTAAAAAGACTACATTGTTTATTTAGCTTTTGCTCTATTATCTGTTTGTTTAAAACTGTACTTGCATTGCTACTTTTTGTGCTTCAGAGGTCTCGTTCTCGGATTAACGTAGACAACCTCTTTACGACTCCGAGGAGGCTCATCCATTCTCTTCAAGATCCTAATGGTTTGAGCTCGGATTACTCCGGGAAACGATACACAGACAACAATAGTTATTGGTATGGTACGAACAATGATGTCAAAGGAAAAGCCCGTTCTTATACTGATGGTGAATCTGTATCATCAACTGATGACAGTCCTGCCGAGCTTGATGTCCAAGGGACCAATGGTGGTGTTCCAGTGAACAAGAAAGAAATTCTCGAGTTCCAAAACGAGAAAGTAAGTAAGAAGACGGCTTATAAAATGTTCTTTGGTCTCTTTTTGATTATAATTGTAGCCCTCGCTTCTTTGTTGTGGACTGAAGTTGAGGATGAAAGCTTCAATATTGTTCCAACTTAGATTCACTCTAGAAAGAATGCCGTACAACAGGTCTTTTTGATGTAATGTCGGAAAACAGGCCTTTTTGATGTCCCTTTTCGGTAGCAATTTTTGTTGTATGGCTAAATGTTTTAGTTAAAGCTCATTATCCTTGACAATGGCTGATGTTGTCATGCTCAGTGAATACAGGAAAACAACATAACTTATATCTAGAGTTCCTTAATCTGAAATATGACATCTGACAACGAAAAAAATCTTCCCAAGATTCAACCATTCATACATAATAATATAAAGATGCTTCCTCGAGTTGTTAACAATGCATTTATAGCAGTTATTGATCTTTCTGTCTTAATTCTAGATCACTTAACACAATAATCTGTGAAATAGATAGCCTACTTAACTTTAGTATTCAATTTGAAGAACCTGAAAACAGGTTTTCAATCGTCTCCATGGAGGTACTTTAACCATACGAGAGAATTAATAATCACAGAACCAGTACCCGGTTGCTCATCATCATGAATACTGGTATTTTCAGAACCTTTACCAATTCCTCCAAAATCTCAAACACCTACAAAGTATTTAAAGGTAAAAACAGAAACAACAATTACCAATGCTCAAATCAGTTACCAGTAAAAAAGAATAGTGCAAACCTTGATAATGCTTTAGCTTAGCCACTGATGAGCTTATGCAGGGTAAAAGCTGGTCCAAATTTCCTCTTGCTGCGACTTACCTGCTAGAACTCAAATGTTCGCCGCAGATCCAAAAGTTCAACGACTATAGAGTCGGAATCAATGGTGACAGAGATTGTCTAAATGACTAATACCGAAAGAACAGTAGATAAAATGTTAAAGTAAATGAGCATTAACAATTCAGCTGATGCATTATTTCTAGTTTCAAATGGATAAATACCGGAAGAACATAGTGAATTACACATTGCTCGCTTATTTCTCACACAATAAGTTTATTACACCCCATAAATTATAGATTGTGAACAAGAACAGTACAACTCTCGAATACTAGTCTTTCACTTCCCTATACTAGAAATGTTAACAAAAACCAACACCATCATCAAATGCAAACAAGACTAATTCATATTCTCTCACTTACTAGGAAAAAGAACAGATGAGAAATGAAAGGAAAAAACAAAAAGGAAAACTTCATGCTATTCAGCAGTCACATTCAGTTTCACTATGTTGCTAATTGCTATTTTGCCTACAAGGAAATGCTGAAAGGTATCTCTCAATCCTACCTCCCCAGCTACAGATCAGTCCCAGTCAATCAGAGACTCAAAATGCCTGATTTGAAGCAGCTAGCTTGTCAATAACCAACCAAAAGTACAACACTACTTCCGAATCCAAGAAGCCAATTAGCATGCACTTGCAACAGAAATTGATTTGTGGCAACCGTCAGTTGCTGTAACTGATCCATTCTCTTCTATAGGTTTCCCATCTCCATTAGCCTTTACCACCTCTGTTGATACAACAGTTGGCTCTTTTATCAAGGCTTCCCCTACAGGTTTTTCCAAAGTGTTTTTTTCTATTGTCACGTTTTCTTTGTCAATCACAACAGAATCATTAGGTCCCCCCCTCAAAATCTGTTTAGGAAGAATAAAAGCAGTTAATATTTAAATAGTTTATGCAAACTATCTATAAGATTTCATATGAAAAAATAGCATGAAAGTATGTTAAATAAGTGGGGAAGAAACAAAATCTGGGAACAAGATTTAATCAGGAGTCGGATATACTTTTTTTTGCAACAACTGATGCTTAGCCTTTTTCTCTTGGATTGTCTTTTGACGAGCCTCATAAAATTCAAATCATCAAGAATGCATGTCTTGCTGGAATGATCCTTAAAGATTTTGAGAATTTGAACCCCCTGCTCAAAATAAACCTACAGAAGCACAAACCATTTTGTAATGAGAATGATGGATATACCTAAAACGCAGAAATAACACATCAAACACACAGAGGGAGAATACCTCCTGGGTGTCCCTACTATTAGTGACGGGCTTGTTCTCATTGTTCTCAAGTGTTATGTGCCTCAGTGCAATGTTTGGCACATCCTTAATGATGTGCCACTTCACAGGGAAGCAACCAGTCCACTTGTCTTGCTGCCAATATTCTACAGTATTGTTAAAATCAACTTGGCCAACCATCTCTGCTACTCCAACAAATTGCCCACTGGTATTAACCTGAAAAAGGGTTCAGGTAAGTAAAAATCAGGCAAATCATATACTCAGTTAACAGAAGTCCTAGCCGACATTTGGTAGCATTTATTATACTCACTGAGAACAATAGAAAAACAGGACAGGCATCAGACTTATCCTTGGCCTCACGGAATGCTGCATCAAGTTTCTTGTTGCCATTAGATGTACTGGCCCACACATTGTATTTGACGCTTTTGTGGACATCATCCTCACTGTAAGATTTAATGACAAAAACTTTGCATTTGAATACTCTCAGGAAAATCTTCCTTATTATACTGCTCCATATCTGGCACAAGATAAACACTGTTCTTATTGCTATCAGTCAGTGGAAGGTTCTGGTCTTCAATAGCTAGTTTTGTACCATCCTTGTTCTTACACCCTTTTACTCTAGGTCCTTTGTTCAGCTCATTTAAACCATCCATATTATGTTTTCCATAACCATGACCATTATATTTGTTGTTGTTACCAACATTATAGAAACTTTGCCCCTTCTTCCAGTTATAGTAGCCATATGATCCGAAACCAGAACCCCCTCTAATGGTATCTCCATAGTGACAGTAGGCCATGTTAGGGTACATGTGGTTCAGGTATCCAAATGCTTGGGCTGCACCTGATGATGGCCGTCCATTGTGGAAATTCTGCATTCAGATCATTAGAACAAATGAGCTCAACCAGCAATGAACCACACAAATCTTATATCTATCTACATAACTTGGTATGTCTATAATTATATTTGGGCTAACTTTGAACCTGTGCTAGTGCGTGTATGGGTTAGAATCCAGATATCTATAAAGCAAGGATCAATCTATGGTATGAGGAAAGGATGAAAATTCCCATTCCAACCAGACAAAAGTTTTTTTTGTTTTAATTATGAAGAGAATTGACTATTTACCGTATATTTCGATTGCCCATTAGAAGATATTGACATATCTAACCAAGGAGTAGGCTGGACCCCATCATAGCTAAATGTTGAATCCTGATGGCCTACTCTATTATAGGAAGCATTGGGATTTAGAGAGGAGCCTTTGGAAGTTGATTTTAGTGACTCTGATCCATTATTGCCACTCAAACCCCCACCGCTTGCTATAGTGCTCAAATTTCCTGTATTTTTATTGGATAAGGAAGCTTGGTCAGATACATCTGAAGTTGATATGTCCCTTTGAGAAGTATTTGTTTGACTAGTTTGCAGAGGTGCTTGGTAATAAGCACTTGGATAATAGTATTCCTGAAGTGCATGTAGCTGACCATCATGTCCCATAGGAGGAAGAGGTGAACTGGGCCTGGAGTACACCCCATATGGCACATAACCATAAGTTTGTGGGTACATGTAAGAGCCATTATCACTGTCAAAATCCTGTCAATTAAATTATCCCAAAAATGCAAATGTTAGCAAGCTCAAAAACACAATACAATGCCACTTAAATGTTGTGGACAGGCCATTATGCAAAAACCAAAATGTCAATGATAAGTTTCTGAGCAACTTCAAGAAAGCATTAGCCTTCTGCCTAAACCTATGGTGATACTCACTACAGCAGATATTCATTTATCTCTGAAAGATTATGCATCATCTCATCAGTCCTCACCACTTTCAACATAGTAATCTTGTGTTATGGTACACGGTACCCAACAAAAAGGGCTCTCGACAATATGAAATTATACAAGTATGCAAGAAGCACATGTAACATTCACAGCTCGAGTTGCAAAAATCTAATACATTCGACAACCAACTAATCTTTAGTTTTATTATAAAAAAAAACAACCAACTAATCTAACTAATAAAAAGTAAAACTTTTACCAGACAACAATAAATGAGCATCTCATAGTCTAAGTACTACCTTCTTGACAGGCTCGGGAACTTTCTTGGTCTTGGCTTGCGAATTCAGAGACAAACTCTCTACTGAATCTGCAGCTTCTGAGAATGTAGAAGTAAAGGATTAAAACGAAACCGGAAATTCAAAAATTGTGCTCTACAAATGTTTAACAATATCCAAAGCATCACTTAAAGCAACTAACAAACTACAACTTCAAGCTATCAAAACCATATAAACCATAAAGTAATTTATCTATATATACAAAGAAAACAAGCAAAGATCCAAAGCTAACACAATCAAATACGTAAGCTCAAAAACCACCATCCAAACCTATAAAATATGGGGGGAAATAATGGACAAAGAAGATTGAAATTAAGCAGAGACATTTTTAAAAGGAACCTTTTAGTGACCTCTACTAAAACCCACCTAAAAGCATAAATTTTCAATAGCAAAGATCCAAATAAAAATACATTCAAAGCATGAAATTCAAAATCTTCCATAAAAAAGATCAATACGCACCAAACATCATTCCAAAAAAAAGAAATAACTAAGTTAATCTAACTAAAAATAAATCACAAAGAAGGGCAACAAAAGGAAATATCAACAAATCTACACACACAGAAAACAAAGCAACACCCAGATATGTGAAGTTAGCGAGGATACTCTCAACTGTGGCCATGGTCACCGAGCAAGGGGTATAGATTTAGTGAGAGAAAGTAAAACCCGAGAAAATGGAGGAGAAAGAAAGAAAAACCCTAGAAAGGAAAGTAGATATAAATGGCGTGGCCTTGAAGAAAAGGGTACCCGCCAAAAACCCAAGTAGCCTACAGAGAGAGTGGTCTTAAATGAAGTAAGTTTAGGGATATATACTAGATTTTGTTTTGGTTGTGTTCAATTTTTTAAATGAGAATGATTTCATATTTTTTGTTTTGGTATATAATTTGTCTCCGACTATATGATGTTGTTATATTGAGTTATTTGATTATTAAAAGTTATAAAATTATTTTTTTTAAATATTATTTTGTTGAGTCATCCAATTATTAAAAGTTACAATATTATCATCCACTATTCATATGTTCCAAAATCGTATTTTTTGTTAAAAATTGACATCCTAAATTTGACGCTAATATGTTGATAGTGATATGATGAAATTATATTTTAATGATATCTACTGGTATTGTCGTCGCTTTCTAGCACTAGTTCACCAGCATAATTTTCAATCACTGGCTTGACGACATAATGTAACGAAAACTCAATGCACAAATACAACTAAAACGATTATGGGATCAAATTTTATTATATCTTTATTAACAAATTAATGTCCATCTCAGATGACCGTCAATTTTTTAACAGAAAATGATGAGTTTGGAATATGAATAATTATGTGACCATTTTGAAACTTTTAATAGTAAAAGGAGTCAACAAAACAACGTCCTACGGTGTAAGGACCATTTATAACTTTTAATAATTAAGAGACTTAACAAAACAACCACCCTATTGTTAGGGAACCACTAATACTTTACTATTAATTCTAATTTAAATATGTTTGAGCTTTAATTGAAATGAATTTGATCTTGAAATATAGGTTCGAATTTTAGATGATTTTAATTTTAAAAATAAATACTGTGGGCTTGGGATTGTTGATTTGATTTTAACTTTGTTGAAGCTTTAGCTGGGATGGTCATTAACTTTAGGCCCCATCAAGTGAGTTAAAAAGCAAGTATGGCCTAGCTTCACTTAGGGATGGGTATAGGTTTGGTTGGGTCGGGTTTTTGGTCCACATGACCCACCCGAGAACAAAAAACCTCCACCCGAGACCCGACCAAATAAGGGTTTCACCCGACCCAATATATGATATAGAAACCTGACCAGACCCGAATAATAAAATATTTTTATTCAATAAAAACAATGACCGAATTGGAAAAATATATAGATGGATATTATTGTAATTATCCCTAAATATATAGGATAAAATTTTATTTTCTTCGGGTCGGGTCGGATTTATTTTACCCTAAACCCGACCCGACCTGAACCCGATTTTTTTTAGAAAACCCAACCAGATCAGGTCGGATCAGAACTCGTCGGGTTCGGGTCACATGCACATCCCTAGCTGCACTGGATCCCTTCTCTATTTGAATTTGAACACTACTTTCTTTTCTCTTTTTTCTCAAGAAAATATATCATGGTAATAAATCACATAAACCAATACAATGGGTAGGTAAACCAGAAAAGTAAAAACTGAGGGCTCCAATGGATTTACATGAGATTTCCTCATGTAAATTGAGTTTTGTTTCCTCTCCTTATTGCAATATGGTTTTACACTACTAGTATGATGTAAAACAGCTTTTAACCTTATATAGGAACATCAGTGCCCTCAAAATCTTGGCAGCATCATCAGGGAAAACAGGATTTATGTAACATCCAGATCCAGCTCGAAACCGCCTACACCGTTAACTGAGGTATTATCTGTAAAAACCAGTGGCTGTATGGTAACTCGGTCGGTAACGTGAACCGGTGAATTATGAATCATGAAATTGAATGGCGGGTTATTCAACTGCACCGACATCTTTTTAAGGATGAGTTTCAGCAAGTGACCAAAATCAGCTGCCTGCATAAGAGAATCAAATGGAACTGTGTGAGAAAACTACCATTTATGGATAAACATACAACTACCATTTTATTGCACAAAAATGCAGAAACTCTCCCCCCTCCACCTTTTTTTTAATTCTTTCAACCACTCCATCTACAACTAAAACCTGCTCTTGAATTCAACATTTCCGCAACAATACGACGTGCATTTTAGCTGACATGAGAAAAGTCAAGAGAAGCAATTCATAAAAACTGAATTCATATACTCTCATTCATTTAGTATCACTTGTTTTGTACTTCTTACACAGACTACAAGTTAGTCAAGAGTGATCATGACATTTTGTGCTCACACAACATTGCTATGTCTCCTTAAAGATTCCTCATATCCTTAGCATGCTACTTAAAGGCCAAACTGGCATCATTATTGCTAACAGAACAAAGCAAAGCCCTAAACAACCATCTCGAATTCACTAAATACCGGGAAATAATACTTGTATACAAACTAAGACCATGTCGAGCAATCATTTGACATTTAATTCCTACTTCTCTCGTAGGTATATTTCTATCCTGAATGTGTGATAACGTGAGTCATACTGTAAATTTTCTGGCACCTTTATCTCCACCAAAATACCAATTACCAAATCAAACAAGCTAGTGAAAATTATGATGTGGAAGGATGTAGAAAGCGACATAGGTAAAATCATATAAGAATACCATGAACATGAAGCATTAGAATTTACCTTTTCTTTGTCTAGTTCATCAAAATGAGTGTGATATCGGGGAATTATCCACATCTCGAAAGGAAATAAAGCAGCAAATGGTGCGATTGAAATGAAATGGCTGGTTTCATTAATCAAGAGGTCCTTTGTTTGGACCTCACAGAGACTACATTTCCCTGTCTGGTTAAAATACTCCTTCGTACTGTTGAGCCGAACAGAACATTGGGTGGAACATGGGAAGAGCTATTATCTGACTGTGAGAGTGACTCATTGAAGCCCAGCTGAAGCTCCATAGTTCTTGAACCCTAAGAAAAGAATTACACCGAACACAAATGAAGTAGCCATTAATAACCAACAGCATGCCGAACTAACACAAGCATAAGAAGAAGAGAGAGATGTTTGCCTGGATTAAAGTTGATCTAGCAATATAGAACACAAACATGGAATTATAACTAAAATATAACATGAAACGGAGAAAAATTTCATATGATATGAATTATTAACATGTAAACCACTATGACATGGTACAACACATGAACACAGCACAACATGAATTGCCAGTCCAATCAAAAACATTACTTTAGAAAACATGGAACTATAAACAATTAGCTCTCAAAAGTTGGAATCACAACAAACGATTGATAAGTAAATGCATCACGAAATGCACAATAGTAATCTAAAATACATCATTTAATCAATTTCAAGCACATGAATCACCAACAGCATATGTCACAAACTCATATTCACAAAAATTTTCAAGAAATACATAAATTATATCAAACAAGTGCTTTTCGACACATTCGTAGAAGAGAAGTTTTCTTTTAAAAAAACAACAATTTTTCTCAAACCTGGATATATTT